TTCAGAGATCACTCAGGCCAAGACCGTAAAAAAAACCACTTCTCATTCAGGGTCATCGAGATCTTTACAGAAAAGAAAAGCTTTACTAAAAATGAATGAAAAGCCATGAACAAAGAAAGGGGATTGACTGAGAAATAGAGCTAAGCGATCCATTGAATGAAGGGCAGGAATGAATGGACTGATTGCCCCAGCTCGTCAGGCAAGGGGGAAGGAAGATCAGTCTGAAATAAAAGAAGACGACCACTTACCATAAGAAAAAAGAAAGGAATTCCTTGCTCGACTAGTCAAGATTAAAGTCGATGGTCCTAGGGACCTTAAAGCAAATTATCAAGCATTCGAATTGACAACATGTGAGTGGCCCAGAAACGGACTCCCCTTTTGTGGACGAACACTAAACCTCCTGTTTTGGACTCGCGAAACCCTCTTTGAACTCAGAAAGATGGGCACTCGAATGTTCATGGACACGTAAGAGAAGCAAAGCAAATAAGGTATATAGCGCCAAACGAGGCTAAGAAGAAGATAGCATTAAGGAAGAGAGAAACTACGAGCGATGAAAGCGGAAGATTGAATATGAATAAAAGAAAAAGAAGGACGCAACAAAATGAAAGATGAGAGCTGCTAGTTGTTGCCCTCCCGCGCCCTTTGTATATAAAGGTAAGGATCCTCTTTTGCGAGACTCCATCAAAATCCGCCACTCGTTGGTTGGAACAACATTTTGTTTATTGAGACTATGCCTTCAATTCCATTCTGCGTTTCCCTAGTCGCTGTATTCTTGCTCAACCCAACATGCATTTTATAGTGCCGTGCCGGGGCGATAGGCGCGCTGCAGTCACGCATTCGAGTAAGAGCTTTTGCCTTGATTCGCTATGTAAATATAGGGCCGGAAGGAATAAGTGCAAGACCCTCAACAAAAGAATGGATTAAGGTGATAGAATGTTATCAGGAGACGAAGGCAATGGTTGACTTGACTGAGAGTTGGATAGGTGAATGAGATTGAGCTTCTCTTTCTTTCATTTGTTGAGTCTTTCCTTGTTGGAGAGGTTCAGGATTGAATCTGAATTGACTCTCCTGTATAGGTTCTTCTCATGCAGCTCCTTTTCCTATTTATTCTTTCACTTACAACTCGGATAGGAAAAGGTTTGAGGTTGATTCTTCTTTTCTTACAGTTCAATCAGGTTCAGGAGCAGCTCGACCGACAAGTTCTTGTTTGATCCGCCACTCTTAGAACACCACAATATTCGTTCTTNAGTATTCTTGTTTATATCGCTACGGCTATAAACACTTTCTTCTTCCTATTAACAAAACATCCCCTTTTTCTTCGCTCTTCCGGAACCGGTACAGAAATTGGTGCTTTTTTTACGTTGTTTACTTTAGTGACTGGGGGGTTTCGGGGGAGACCTATGTGGGGCACCTTTTGGGTGTGGGATGCTCGTTTAACCTCTGTATTCATCTCGTTCCTTATTTACCTGGGTGCACTGCGTTTTCAAAAGCTTCCTGTCGAACCGGCTTCTATTTCAATCCGTGTTGGACCGATCGATATACCAATAATCAAGTTTTCAGTCAACTGGTGGAATACATCGCATCAACCTGGGAGCATTAGCAGATCTGGTACATCAATACATGTTCCTATGCCCATTCCAATCTTGTCTAACTTTGCTAACTTCCCCTTCTCAACCCGTATCTTGTTCGTTTTGGAAACACGTCTTCCTATTCCATCTTTTCCCGAATCTCCTTTAACGGAAGAAATAGAAGCTTGAGAAGGAATACCAAAACTTAGTTCACTCGCTGAGTCTCTTTGCATCCATGGCTGAATGGTTAAAGCGCCCAACCTATACCGACCTAATAAAGGGGAAAATTCGTAGGTTCGATTCCTGCTGGATGCACTTGGAACGTTCAGTTCAATCGCTGCTCACGGAATTTATACATATTTATATTCATTTTCTTGCTTGCTCCTACCAGACAGAAGGAGGAGAGATCCTTAATTACTGATATCGAGAAAGCAAGGATGTTATGAGCATTCGCTAATGTCAGCCCTTGTTTGGTCCTAAGGGGAAGGTTCAAGCCTAAAACCGAGTTTCGGAAGGCCTAGAAATAGGATTCCATTTTCATTTCCTAAACTGAAAAAGCATACACATAAGCACCCGAGGATGCCGAATCATCCACTGAGGAGTTAGATTTTGCTCTTTCATCCGAACCCACCGAAGCATCCAAAGCAAACCTCTTTACCCCTAATCTTAAGAATCCGAAGCTTAAGCCAAATCTGAAGCTAGAATAGAGGGAAATAAATGATTCCAGTAGCCAAGCCAATGTGGGGTCTGTCTATAACTACAATAAGAATACCCGTGATCCGGGGCATGAAGCAGTTGAAGTTGATGATTTCTTTTCCAATTTAGCGTCTGTCTGTGTGAAAAGTATGTAGGATCCGATCCACCTTAAGCTATGGGGCCTGAGCCTGTTCCTAAAGCATAGGCTCTCGTACCAAATCCAACGTATAAATCAGCCTAGGCCGACGCCAAATCTGCACCTGCGGAATATCCAAAATCTTCCAAATCATCAAATGAATAGTACGTAAAGAAAGGGCTTTTTGATCCACGATCTGAGTCTCGTCTTTCGAAGGGTCTCGTTCCGTTCATATGCCGCTCATTTGTAGCAGGGTTTTTCTATCTTTTAGATAAGTAAGACAAGCGCTTCATTACGCGTGATTCTAATTCTAGCATATACTCAGTCCTACTTTTCAAATGGTTGAGCTCGTGTCTTTAGGGTCAGCAGGCCGGGCCTGCGGTTCTAATGATTTCGTAGATACAGAAAGAGCTTCACTGATTCCTCGGCTTTCTATTTCTTTTTTCAGAAAATCGATATTAAAACGTCAACTTTAGGCTTTGTGAATTAAGGAGGACTCATATGATTCTCCTTCCTCGACTTCTCTCTCCTGGTTTTCAATAACACAGAAACTTGCTTAGTCAGGTCTTCCTTTTATGTGAATTCGTAGAGTAGGCAGAGACCCAACTATACGATCGAAGTTTAAACACGTAAACCATGGGTCCCCCGAATATCCATCATCAGCCAACCCCCTTTCCTGGCTTTTGTTCTACTAGCAGTAAGCTCTGCTCCCTCCAGTTCGATTAATTCCGGATTTTGATACCTGATGACCATCCAAGGTTGAATGAGTGCTCCTATTAGTTATTACTTTTCGTTTGACATTTTAGCTGAGCATTCGGGGCATAAGGGCCTGCTGAGATTATTAACATGCTTTTACAGCCCATATCTTCCCACCTACGGCACATGAGCTTTCGAGAGCCCGGTCCTGATCTAAACGATTTTTGATGTATGTCTTCTGTCTTTCAGCTCAACGGGATCCAGAGAAAGACAAACCTACCTACCAGTTTTAAGCGGCAAGATCCATGAAAGAAAATAGGCTCAAGAGAAGAACCTGTTTTCTTCTTCTTTGATATCACATCGTATACATCGTAATAGAACCCTTTTTCAAATCTGAAAGTACCCTCTCGGTAGGCCTACACGTTTTAGGTTATCCGGAAGGAATGGAATGACTAATGTGATGTGAAACCTCCACAAAGAAAAAACTCCTTGGACTTCCCGTATGGCCGGCCAATCCGTGACAACCCCACAACAAAGAGTGAAATGCCAAGCCCTTTCTCTATTAAAGCAAAAAGTATGTGCTCAAAATACCTCCGTCACCCCAACCCACCTTGTTTGTGTACTGGAACTGCTACCACTTCCTTAGAACAGCACTAACTTACCGCTCTCTACTATAAATCCAATAGCTCCATAATCAAAAAACTGCTATGAATTACACACACGCAAGTAGTGGCTCGCCTAGAGGAAGAAGCCGGAGCCTATGCACTACCGAAGAATAGACCTGATAGAATCAATCGATTGCATAAGATATGCCAAAACCACTGACTGGTCTTTACAAACGGAACAACATAAAGAAAAAAAAGAAGTCAAGTAGACTCTGAAAGAAAAGAGATAGTTCAACCTGAACCTTTACAGGAGAGCATATTCAATCCTCGTCCCCTCGGTAAAGCTGCTTCGCTCCTCTCCTCTCCTTTACAGTCGAGCCGCTTCGCGCCTCTTCTCGTGGAGCTGCTTCGCTCCTTCGGCTCTAAACTGCTACTGTGCTTATTTGGTCTATCAGCTACCTACTTATCCCAGCTCGTCAGGCTGCTACTGACCTAATTGGTCACTTTTCAGTCGAAAAGCTTTCAGTTTCAGAGATCACTCAGGCCAAGACCGTAAAAAAAACCACTTCTCATTCAGGGTCATCGAGATCTTTACAGAAAAGAAAAGCTTTACTAAAAATGAATGAAAAGCCATGAACAAAGAAAGGGGATTGACTGAGAAATAGAGCTAAGCGATCCATTGAATGAAGGGCAGGAATGAATGGACTGATTGCCCCAGCTCGTCAGGCAAGGGGGAAGGAAGATCAGTCTGAAATAAAAGAAGACGACCACTTACCATAAGAAAAAAGAAAGGAATTCCTTGCTCGACTAGTCAAGATTAAAGTCGATGGTCCTAGGGACCTTAAAGCAAATTATCAAGCATTCGAATTGACAACATGTGAGTGGCCTAGAAACGGACTCCCCTTTTGTGGACGAACACTAAACCTCCAGTTTTGGACTCGCGAAACCCTCTTTGAACTCAGAAAGATGGGCACTCGAATGTTCATGGACACGTAATAGAAGCAAAGCAAATAAGGTATATAGCGCCAAACGAGGCTAAGAAGAAGATAGCATTAAGGAAGAGAGAAACTACGAGCGATGAAAGCGGAAGATTGAATATGAATAAAAGAAAAAGAAGGACGCAACCAAATGAAAGATGAGAGCTGCTAGTTGTTGCCCTCCCGCGCCCTTTGTATATAAAGGTAAGGATCCTCTTTTGCGAGACTCCATCAAAATCCGCCACTCGTTGGTTGGAACAACATTTTGTTTATTGAGACTATGCCTTCAATCCCCTTATGCGTTTCCCTAGTCGTTGTATTCTTGCTCAACCCAACATGCATTTTATAGTGCCGTGCCGGGGCGATAGGCGCGCTGCAGTCACGCATTCGAGTAAGAGCTTTTGCCTTGATTCGCTATGTAAATATAGGGCCGGAAGGAATAAGTGCAAGACCCTCAACAAAAGAATGGATTAAGGTGATAGAATGTTATCAGGAGACGAAGGCAATGGTTGACTTGACTGAGAGTTGGATAGGTGAATGAGATTGAGCTTCTCTTTCTTTCATTTGTTGAGTCTTTCCTTGTTGGAGAGGTTCAGGATTGAATCTGAATTGACTCTTCTGTATAGGTTCTTCTCATGCAGCTCCTTTTCCTATTTATTCTTTCACTTGCAACTCGGATAGGAAAAGGTTTGAGGTTGATTCTTCTTTTCTTACAGTTCAATCAGGTTCAGGAGCAGCTCGACCGACAAGTTCTTGTTTGATCCGCCACTCTTAGAACACCACAATATTCGTTCTTTTTGGGTTAATGCTCTCAATGGTGAATCTCTCATTCGATATCCTTTGACTTATGAGAGGACGGAATGGAAGAAAAGTAATGAAACCCGCGATGGCTACTGAATAACCTCCTTTGACTTTCTCAATAATAAAGCCTTTGACTTTTGTATTCGTTTGCCAAATCTTGTTCAGTTCCATCCAAGCTCGGTTTTGTCTGAATCTTCGTGGAAGAAGAAAAAGCGGTTCACCAGCCACTACATCTGTGGATCCCACCAAATCATTAAACCTGGCGGCTGCTCGCTCTTTGATCAGTGATTCGCCGGCCACTAGATCGATGAAGAATCTCTCCAAAATTGGCTCTTTGATCAGTGATTCACCGGCCACTAGATCCAGGGATCCCACCTTATTCTCAAACCTGGTGGCTCGGTTGATTGGCACTCCTGTAGGTTCATCTTGCATACAAATTCTGGGGGTCCCAGGTCCTGCATCCACCAAGAACATTTCTTCCCTTAAGCGTAAAACTTCAGATTGTAAGGCGTTTCCACTACATAAGAAAAAACTCGAATTAGATCTTGGAAATGATCGACTCAAATAGATGCTCATCATAAGCTTTTTTTCCTCCTCTTCCTATTGATCAGAAGCATCCAGCAGCGTCACGCCAGTCGAAAGAGTTGAGCTACTAAGCTAAGTGTTGGGGAACTCGGTAAAAGTTATTTGTCGCTTCCTCCTCTGACGGCCTCACAATAGCTCCCCCCTATCTCGAATGAGAAATGAGTCTTTTCCCCTCCACGAGAAGAAATCCGAAAGGCATTTTCAATTCCTCAGGATTTTTTGTTTGTGCAGGGGGCTCCGAGTCTTGTGTTGACAAAGATCAGGATCCTCGATCTCTTCCTTCATATTGATCAACGTTCTCTCGAGATTCAGGAATTTCCCACGCTACCCCTCATCCATTAGTGCATCCATTAAGTCAGAAATGCAGTATTCAGAACCTCGTAAATCAAAGCCTTACTAGATAGATAGAATAGAACTAGACTAGATAGGGAGCAAAGAGGAACGAAGCAGCTTGACTTGACTGAGAGTTGTAGAGGGGAAGGCAATGGAATTCTGAGACCATAAAGAATAGGTGAAGGAGAAAACAAACTGAGTGAAAGAAGTCCAGGAGAGAAGCCTATTTACCGAGTGAAAGAAGGGGCAGGAGAAAGACTACTACTATCTATTTACCGAGTGAAAGAAAAGAGAGGAAAGAAAAGCAAAGAGAAGAGACCGAGTTCAATCAAACACCTATTCTATTTACCTAGTATCAATCAAACACCTATTCTATTTACCTAGTAAAAGAGTGAAAGAAGGTTCAGGATCAGATCAAGAATGAATCTTAAGTCTTGACTTTCAAAACTTTCAGGTTCAAGGGAAGAGAAAGAATAGTTCAACCCTCGTTCAAGAGTGAAAGAAGGATCAGATCAAGAATTAATTGAGAGTATTTCTCTTTTATAGTTCAAGAATAAATAGGAAAAGGAGAATGATGAATAAAAGGATCATGATGAATAACGAGTGTTTACAGTCTCATTCTTGTCTCATTCATCGATAGTCTTTCCTCTTCCTTCTTTCATTCATTTACTCTTTCTTGTCTTGCTTCAGTCTAATTCTTCTTTCGGTTTCGTCTTTCAAAGCTGCTAATTCATTCTTTCACTGTAAAGGTTCATCAGTAGCTCAGGTCATATCGGTTCACGAGAGAATAGGAACAAGAGTGAAGTTCAGTCTCATTAATCTTTCATCTCCCCTCTTTCAAACACAGTAAACTCGGAGAGAGAAGGTTCAGGAGCAGTTAAGTTTTCTTCTAAACACTATGGCTCGACTCGAAAGGTTCTTCTTCTAGCTTTACCTCGTTCAAGAAGAATAGTCCAAGTTCGGGAGTTTACAGTTAAAGAAGGAATCGGAGAATCAATCTTTCTTACAGGAAATAGCTGATTGATGAAAACAAGAGCAAGAGGAAAAGGATGACGAATCGGAAAGGTGCGAAGCAGCGAGACACACAATCACCGAGGTTACAGTGAAAGAAGGGAGAGGGGAACAAGAACTGATAATAAGGAACAATCACTGACGGGAATAGAGTCAAAGGTTCAGCAGGAGTTTACTTTACCTCGTTCAATCAGTCTCATTAATCTTTCTTCTTTGTTTACATTCATTAGCTACTTCATGAACCCATTTACCGAGTTGACAGTTAAAGAATAACTCACAAGAAAGAACTGAAAGAGAATTAAGGAGAAAGATCAGAGCCCTAGCTAAGATTCCCTGTTTACTGTGAAAGAAGAAAAAGAATAAATAGGTGAATGAGCTTTACCTCTATAAAGAATAGTAAAGGTAATAAAATAGAATAAATAAATAGGTTACGTACGGAGGGAACTCTCATTAAGGAGAAAGAGAAGAAAGAGCCAGAGCTAAGCCTGTTTACTGTGAAAGAAGGGAAAGAACAAGAACTTTCGGTAATATCAGTGAAGGAAAAGAATAAATAGGGGCAGGCAATGGAATTGTTCAAGAATAGTGAATGAGCGAAGCCGAGGGAAAGGTTTTCGGTTGAGTCTGACTGTGAAGGAGAATTAATAAGGAGTCTCCATTCACCTGTCGGTTTCACCCATTGCCTGATTTCTTTCTCGTCAGGTTCAGGAGCTCTGTTCTGTCTAATTCTTCTTTCGTCTTTCCTTTCTTTTTCTTCTTCAATCAGTCAAAGGAGCCAGAGTTCAGCCTAGTTCAATCAGTAGGATCAGTCTAATGAGTCTGACAGTTCACTCTCCCTTGTGTTCCGGTGAAGGAGAAAGAAGAAATAGGGTACGGAGTGAGCTCTCATTCATAAGCTTGACTTACCTTGTTCAAGAATAGTATAGTTCAGGCGCGAAGCCGAGGTTCAGGTTCTTCTTCTAGCTTTACCGAGTGAAAGAGTGAAAGAAGGAATCTTGAGTCTTTCCTTACAGTTCACTCTCATTCATCTTTCTTGAGTCTTTCCTTGAGTCTTTGTTTACTGTTCAATCCGGTAATAAAGTATAAGGAGCGAAGCAAGCAGTTCAAGAGGGGACAAGTGCTTGAGTTTCGGAGCTTCTCTTTCCTTCCGGTTCAATAGCGAAGGTCAGGTAATCAAGTAGAGTCAAAGGTTCTTCTTCTAGCTTTACCGAGTGTTTGAAGAATAGTTAGTCCGGGAATAGAGTCTTTGGTTCCGACAATGGAATCCCTTTACAGTTCAATCAGTAGGATCAGTCTAATGTGTCTGACAGTTCACTCTCCCTGATAGTTGGTTTCGGCTTATAAAGCTGCTAACTCCTTCCTTATTTCCTTGAAAAGCTGCTAACTCCTTCCTTACCTTCTTTCCTTGAAAAGCTGCTAACTCCTTCCTTCCTTCTTTCATTCATTTACTCCCCCCTCCTGTAGTAAAGGTTCTATCTCTTTTCTTTACTCTCCAGACTGTAAAGCTATTTTGCTGCTAACTAACTCCTTACAATCTGGTCCGGGAATAGGGGTTCAGGAGCAAGAGCTGTTCAAGAAGGTTCTCATCCATTCAGCAACTTTACTTCCCGAAAGAAGAATCGTCCAGGTTTGAGGTTTCGTCTTGACTTCCTCTTTCCTCTTTCCTTACAGTTCACTCTCATTCATCTTTATTTAGTCTTTCCTCTCCTATCAAGCAGCTAAGCTAATTCATTTCTTCTAGAACAGAGTAAAGGTAAAGAAAGGATAGGTTCACCCTCCTTCACCTTGATTTATTACCTTCCCTGATTTCACTATTCAAACACTGATCCTATTGATTCCTTATTGAAGGAGGTAAACAAAGACTCAACTGAAAACCTTTGACTCTATCCCCGGAGCTACTGAATGAAACCCTGACCTGAAGTAAAGACTCAAGAAAGATTCATTCTCCGGCTCCTTCACTCGCATATGAAATGCTTCTTGCTTTCACTCTTGAACAAACAAGGGAACTAGGCAAGCTGGATGAGAATCAGGTCAAGCTCCTATTTCACTCTTTATCCGTAACCTCTCTCTATTCATATCCGTAACCTCTCTCTATTGATTCCCCTCTCTCCTATTTATTTATTTATTCATTCTACTTCACTCTTTAACTATTCCATTGGCTGAACCTGACCCGACGAGGTGTTACAGTCTTTGTTTGAAAGAAGGAGTTAGCTGCTTGCCTCAACCGACGCCCTTTTCCTTCCTATCTATAGAGTCGGTAAAAGAAGATGAATTATCTCCTACCCTTTACTTACGGTCTCTTCTCCTTGAGCCTTATACTTTCTTTACTTAACTGATCCTCTTTAACTACTCTATTTCTTCGTTAGACTGATGGAACTCCTTATTTATTAAAGATCCTAAACTAAATAACTACTTCTTCTCCTCAAGCTCCTACTTCTTTCACTCAATCACAAGGTAAGGTAGTAAAGTTAGTATGAGAATCTCCTTCCCCTGAAGCTATCGGTCTCGCTCATTGGTTCTCTGCTTCACCTGTATTCCCTTGTCTGATTTAATAGGCTACTTACTTAATTCTACTTCTTTCACTTCCAACTCTTACACTTACTCATGAACGGGAACCTCTTCTCGTCGTCTTCTTTCTTTAGCCGGATTTCAGAGTCAACTCTTTTCTTGAGTCATTGAATTAGCTACTGAATCAAATGAACGTATATTCTCTTGTTTACAGTCTTTGAATAAAGGGAAAGTCGAAACTAACTACTTCTTCTCTCTCCTCCTTCTCAAATGAAACATTCTTTCTCCTCTTCCCTCTGTAATCCTTGACGATATTACCTGACCAAACACCTACTCGTTCAATCAAAGAGATAGTTCGTTCAACCGGAACTGTAAGGAAAGACTCTACTCCTACTTCTTTCACTGTAAACTCCTGACCCGGACCCTTCTTTAACTGATCTTTCTCCCTTGAACTGGGGTTTCACTCTGTAACATAGGCTGGATGAGAAGAACCTTCCCCTGCACCTCTCCTGTATTCCCCTACTGAACCACCTATTGAGAATGAAAGAATCAATGAATTAGCTTTAGCTGTTTTCCCGTCTCGTAAATTCATTCAATCCTTCTTGAACTCCTAAACCTCTCCTTTCTTATCCTATACTGGCTGGAGAGTAAGTAAATAAAAGAAGAAGAACCCGACAAAGAGCTACTTCACACTGATATTCCCTTTTTGACAGTGTTTGAAAGAAGGGAGACTCAACATTAATGAATGAGACAGAACCTTTATTGCCTTATTTCGCTTCTTCTTTGTTTAACTGTATGGAATCATAGCTCTGATCTTTCTGCTTATTCTCTTCACCTTTTACTGATGGAACTCTTGATCCTGAACGGGCCCCTTTACTGTCTGTCGAGCTACTTACTCATGAACGCAACCCCTACAACTATCAGTCTGCTGAACTACTCACTCTCCCTATCGTTCTACCCCCTATTTATTGTTGAACGAGGTAAAGCTATTTGAGGAAAGCAAGACAAGATGAAGAAGCTCATTCCCCTATCCTTTCTTATCCTGTTACAGTGTTTGAAAGAGGTAGTAAGTAAATATAAAGCATATTCATTTCGTTCCTTATCCATCCTTTACAGTCGAGTAAAGAAAAGAAGAATACGGTAGGAAGTC